AGTGGTGGCACAGAGGTTAGAGAAGGTGGGCCTGTGATTAGAAGATCGCTGGTTCAACTCCCGGTACTGACAGCATCAAAATGTGGGTGGGATAGGTGAAGCACCCACACCTGCTTCCACCCTCATTTGCCCCACTTTGGGCCCTTGAGCAAGTCCCTTACTCCCCCTTTCTGCTCCCCTGGGTGCCCAAGATGGCAGCTCTCTGCTCCACACAGAGGGCTGTGGTAGGTCAGTGGTCTGTGGTTGTGTCAGGAAGGACGTCCGGCGTAAAAACCATTGCCAAGTCTTTGTGTTACTTAGTTCGCTGTGGTGATCCCTGAAGAAGGGAGCAGCCGAAAGAAGAAGCATCTCTAGTTTAAGCACTTGCAACAAAGTATTAAATGTTTTGCCTTTTAAAATGTTTAAAATATTTTTACATTTAATCTCAATTCAAAAACTTTTTTCCCCAAAATTAAAATGCAACCTTTTAAATTTGTACATGTTATATTCTCACTCCTTTGAATTACTTACAGTTTAGAAACAATTAAACACAAAAAGCATAATCTTTTATGAGTTCTTTTATTTATTTATTTTTTTATTTTTTTTACAATTATTTCCAAATTTTTATCTTTTTTTTTTTTTTTACAAAGAAAGTAGTACTTCATGTGCTTTAAGTTCTCTAAATAGTTTGTTCCGAGAAGAGTTTTCCGTGTGATTGTATTTTCTGCATGCACCCAGGACTCAAGGTCAGCTTGTAGCTGAAGGATAAAAAGCCATAACAGTGAAGACATCTTGTATTTTTTGGTTTTAATGAGTTCCAGTAGTGGGAACTGTTCGGGCGTTCCATGTGTAGATCATTCCCATACATGCACAGTTCCTGTCCATCCACCAGATGCTGCACTGAAGAAACTCTTCTCTCAGGACAAATGCAGACTTTTTGGGTTCATCTGCTCACGTGTGCCCTGTCATCCTGACTTATTACCACAGTCCTTCCTGTCATTGCAGTCACTATAATGTTAAGCAGTTTGCACACATCTGTTTGTCTGATTATAAACTTTTCCAAGAATCTGCTGTACATTAGTATTAGCAGATTATGCATCATGTCAATGTCAAAGTCAAGCCGCCACTGAGATCATCATGTTAGGAAACTACAGTAGCTGCATAAAGACCCTCCTACCCCACACAAACACACATTTTCAAACCAAACTGTGCGTCTGTCTTGGTGATTTAATTTTTTTTGTCTCCCAAACCCCTTTTCCTGTGCCCTGAAAATATGAAAGCTGGCTTCGTTTAGCAAACATCTTATAAACTCATCAATTACTGTAACTGGATCCTTTGGGAGCAGCTTCTGAATTTCATGAATGCATTTTTTCCATCATTCAGAGTGCACATGGTGGAGAGGAAAAGCCTCTCTGTTGACTACAAAAATATCTTAAAATATAAAAGGTATTTAGACGTGTAACAGGAAAAGAACTGGGAGTTAATCAGAGACTGGAGATTTGAGGAGGAGGAGGGTGTTGTTAGAATGGGCACAGCCTTTGTGAAGCACAGAAGTGCATCAGGTCTCTTTGCCTTTGTAGCAAGATGACTGAGCTGCCCTGATTGACTCTGACAGGCAGTTAGAGCGAGTCCAAATGGAGAACATTCTCTATGATCAGCTGTCACCCATCGTTAATCACACTCCCCCTTTATCTCTCTCCTGAGCGCTCTTTTAATCTTTTCCTCTTGTTGCTCAAATGAAAACTTCTCCCGCTCGCTCACCCAACCCCCACCCACCCCCACCCCCTTTCTGTGTTGATTTTTGACTTGACGCGAGGGGCCCGGTTCTGATGAGGACCTACCAAAGCTTACAAAACTGCATTATATTCACCAGATGTGTTTTACAAGGGTTCCCTTGAGGTTTCCTTGAGGTTCTCAGGGCTCCACAGTTGGTGACTGTGTGGAGATTTATTGCTCGAGTCTGAGAAGGAAATGAATGCAGCGCTTGTGCCACTTTAATAGGAGTCCGACCATGTCAGGACGGAAAGCCCAGGCCTCTCGCTATCAAAATTAAAGACCAAGCATTCCTTCAAGGAGTCTATATCTTTTGATGCTATAATGCCAGAGATTTAGACGAAGATCCTCTTGTGCTGAAAAACGAGTTGTAGTCATTTTGGTCAAGCCTTGATGTAGCATGCAATTTGATGCAATAATTCAAGATGTACTGTATTTTTTTTGGACTATAAGGCACACTTGAAATCCTTTAATGTTCTCAAAAATCAGTAGTGAGTCTTATAAACCAGCGCACCTTATGTATTAATTCTGGTTGTACTTACTGACCTCGAATTGATTTAGTGTGGTACACGACGCTCAAAAATCTGTCAATGTTTTAGTTTCGCTTAATGCATCTTATAATCCGGTACGCCTTATAGTCCAAAAAATACGGCATGTGTTGTGACTAACAGGGGCTGCTGTAGTTCAGTGGTCAGTGCAGCAGCCTTGTTATCCTGAGGCTGTCAGTTCAAGCCCAGGTTGCATCAGGAGGAGCATTTGGCATAAAACTATTATGAAATCTTCCATGCAAGTTAGTTTACCGTGGTGACCCCTGCAGAAAGAGGCAGCTGAAAATGATAAAGCAGGGTTGTGTGAATGACTCTGCTTATCCATCCATCCATCCTTTACCTAATACTCGCTTCTTCCTTTTTGGGTCATGAGGGTCATTGGTGCCCATATCCTGCAGTCACTGTGCGAGAGGTGGGGTACACCCTGGACAGGTCTCCAGTCCATCACAGGGACACATAGAGACAAACAAACAACCATTCACTCTCTCACTCACACCTAGGGACAATTTAATTACCAATCAGCCTAACATGCATGATTTTAAGTGTGAGGAGAGTGGAGTACCTGGAGAAAACCCATGCATACATGGAGAGAACATGCAAACTCCACCCAGAATAGTCCCCCAGCCGGGATTCGGTCCGGCGACCATCTCGCTGAAAGGCAGCAACTTATACCACATCAGATTTTAGCAAGATACAGTATCTGTAAAAATGACTGCATTAGTCATTCTTGTGTTTTCTGAAGTCAGTTGTCTGTGGCGGCCATCTTGAATTGAGTGAGATCTTTACAAGTTAATCCGTTTTAGATGTACATTCAGTAATTACTTTCTGAAATGTTCATTAAAGTTAATTAGATGGTTCATGAGATGTTCTGCCTAGAGTTGAGCAGAGTTGACTCCAAATAGTTAGTGGATCAAATTTTTCACCATGATCTGTTAGAGCTGAATATATATATATATATTTTAGAGATCAGTCTCAGCTACTACCACTTCAAGTTTTAGGTCAGTAGTTGTAAAACTCGTGTTTTCTAAGGTCAGTTGGCGGCGGCAGCCATCTTAAACTAAACTGACAAACGTAATCAGCTGTGGACGTCAATTAAATTAATATTTTCTGCAAGTTGCATTAAAATTTGTGCATTGGTCCATGAAATATTTTGCTAACAGGCAGACACAAACAAAAAACTTTATCGTCCACCTTCTGTTTTTGGCAGTGAGTCTGTGCAAAGCATTTGAAAAGAAGGATAGTTACTGACAGATATTCTTTTTTTTTTTTTTAGATATATTATGCAATTTTCTGGAAGTTTCAATAATCCCTAAAATACTCTCTTTAAAATGCACCTTATAGTATTTGATATGTGCAGCAATCCTTCTGGAGTCATTTGGAGGATAAAAGTTAATACTGCCCCTTCTTTCTTTGCTTTGCTGATCTGGAGGAACCCTCTTCCGTGGTCATATCATCGCATTCAAAGTCAGAGAGATGTTTTCATTTTCCTGCTCAGTCAGACCTCAAAGTGTAAAAGAGCACCAAAACAAACATTTTGCAGAAAGGGAATGAAAGGGAATACTGTTGGGGAGCACAAACACAGCAGCTCTAATTTGACTTGGAATGTCATTTTCTGCTGGATACCTGGCTGAATGCCAGGCGATAAGATGAAGGATTTGGGGGCTGCAGGCGAGGAAACAGACATCGGACTAACACGTCAGCTTACAAAGAAAACCACTTAGTAGCAGCCTCAACCATGAGTGAGAAACATCGTCACCACCTAGTTTTAATGAACTCCTCGGAGAAAAACACTTTCTGGTTTGGCAAAAGTTTTTATTAGTGAATCCCTTTTCACTTATCTTTGGAACAAACAAACAAAACAACACGTTTCTTTTGTTGTTTCTCAGGTGTTTCCAAGCCGCTCCAGGGCCAGGATTCCTCTCACAGATGACGTGAAGGAGACTCGGGACACATCCTGCCACTCTGCAGGCCCGACAGGTGTCTGTGCATGTAACTACATCTCACAGGGTTATATTCTGGGAAAGGACAACAGATGAAAGTCTGCCAAACATCGAGCAGCATCCTAATAATTTCTATACGATGCAGCCACGGTCATGCAAGCGGATAATATGCCAGGCCTGGAATGTCGAGCCTTGACGCAGGTTGGGGTTTAGTTGCTTCAGTCCCCCCCCCATCTCCCTTCATTGCCCTTGGCTACAATCAGTCTACATCCCAACAGCTGTCCGCTCTCATTCCCTCCATGCTACTGATGCCACAGCAAGATTTTACTGATAGATAGCCTGCAGCAGATGGCTCCTCAAGACCTGCTGGTATTTCAACAAGTACAGTGTTTAATTCTCCACTTAGGCAGAGGTGTGTGTAGCTACACCCCCCTCCCAACCCCTGAATGGGCGCAGTGAGAAACTTCTCACGACTTTGACACTTATTGTTTAGTTCATACATATTTTCTCATCTTACTGTGGTGGTTTTTGAGCATAAAAGATCCTTTCATGTGTGGCTTCCAACACTAGACATTCCTGACTCCATGCTGGAAGCCGTGCAGTTGCCAAATCTCCGCCCATTGCCTGAAAGTGACTGAAAGTGCAGCATCTTTCGGTTGTGAGCTTGAATATTCTGATGGTAAAAGTTTAAACGTGAGCAGCTTGTTTTCTGTTTTAATATCAGTTAAGTTTTTACGCTCAGAAGTTGTCGTTTGCTGTAAACCATTAAGATGGAAATATTATTTTCCTTGGGTGGACCAATTAGTTGTATTTGTGTTAACAGGTAAACAAATCATAATGGACATGATTTTCTTAGTGTACATTGTCCAAAAATTGTCAATTTGGTGGGTTTTTTGTAACTCAAAGCAGAACATAAAGAAAAATTTTGGTCTTGCTTAGACTTAGTCTAAAAGCTGCACCAGCAAATCAAAACTTTATGGATATTTTGTTACTCGGGACCACGATGAGAGTTCACTCAGGGCGTATTATAGAGTTAAACTTGTCATTAATAATGACTTATCTGAAATACTTGAATTTTTTGCATGAGTTCTCTCAACTGGTGATCATCATTGTGGCAATTTTGCACACGTCGTAGTTTCCAGTGCAGTGCAACAAAATACATTTGATGTGTTTTGCAAGATGTAATGAACATCAAGCTGTGGAGTTACTGGTGCATGCTGTGTCGCAATACTTGATGTTGTACTGTAATACGTTTACCTTGTGATTGTTACAGTATACATGCATGAAAAAGTGTTACTTTGAGAGCCATGTATGCAGTTTGTAGCATCAACACTGAGCTGAGTATCTAGAAAACGATAAAAGCATTAAAATGTTGTACATTCGCGTCACATGTATTTGTCCAGAAATAATGAAGAATTAAACAGATCTATCCAACTGTCCATCTTTTTAATAAAAAAAAAAAAAAAGAGTTTTCAAGAGTAATAAAAACATTTACAGTTTGTGATCTAGTTGGTTTCACTTAGTGACATACATCTCATGCAACAGAAAGGTTTCACTTTAAAATGAAACAATCCCTGGAATAACCATGCTGCTGCATAACAGAAGTAAACATAAACCATAGAAGTACTATGTTGAGATAAAAGTTGGGTTCCAGCATGTTTTCTTGTTTCCTGTCACTTTTATTCAACAGCATTAAATCTTTAACAGTGTAGAGAGCAGTGGCGTCCACAGCGTCAGGCTTCCAGCTCGGACATTGAAATGTGTCCTGTGTTTCGAGGCCAAGAGATCATATTTCTCTCAGCAAACGGATCACGCTTATCCTACCCTCTTTGATGCATGCTGAGTTCCCAGTCTCTTCTCGATTGTGATTAGTTTACATCTTTCAGAATGCCTCGGTCATTTCAAGACCGCTAATGTTCTGTTCCTCGTTCAGTGAGAACAGGCTTTGAGTCATGTGAGGTACAGGCTTTTTTAAACTGTTGTAAAATTACAAAACATGAGTAATAACTATGTCAGTGTTGGTGAAGTGGGGTTTGATGAGTCTTGTTAAACGTTGCCAATAATTGTGTGCGGGGTGGTGGACTTCTTTTTCTTTCTTTAAGGGGGAGAGCAGGTGATTGGGGTTCTCGTCAAAGATAAATTGCATCCTCCTGCTCCAAGCTTTCTCATCGCATGTCTCATCAGGGCCTGGAGTCCCTAACGTTTAGCTGCATTTGCAGGACTTGACGACCATGTTTGAGAGCTGCTCGACTTTTGGAGAGCGTCCAACATAGTAGAGGATGGTGAGGGGCTCCAGGTCCTGAGGAACACAGCAGGGGGAGGCGGATGCTTCGGGGTTTAAAGTGTTGTAGAGGCTCAGCAGCTGCGGAAAGAAGAGCAAAAAAGAGATGAGGGTCAGTTATAGATTTCTAAACAGATCTGGGATTTCAGGAGTCTTTGCCTCACCGAGCTGTGGGTGGTGTCCGCACTGCGTAGGTAGGGACACGGACCAGAGCAGAAGTTGGCGTAGTACCCTTCAGGCTGGTGGATCCACCTCCAGCCCAAATCCTGACGAAAATTAATATATAGTGGTCGCACGCAGCAGTTCTCCTCATAATTACTGCAGACCAGAAATAAGAAACAAGATTGCCTTTAATTTATGCATAACATGCGCTCAAGAGTTGTATAGATGTCCTCCCCATGGCCTCAGTCAGGGAGGAGAGAGGAGTTCAGAAATTCCACTCTTAGGTGTGCCCCTATTTTCTCTCTTGGAGTCAGACCAGGTGTATTTGGTACTCGCCTGTCAGCCTGATGGAGGAAATCGAAAGCTGAGGAGACCGTGCATGAGAGGAGGTGGCATTTGCTAGTCCTGGGACAGATCCTGACTTGCATCAGCTAATACCTCTGTCATGCTTATCTGGGTAATTAACAAGCTTATTCTTTGTATTCTGTTCTTACCTGTCATATTTTCTAGATGTGACAGTTGATCGTATTCATTTTTGCTGCTTTGACTTTTACAAAGAATAGTAATTTATTTGAAAGGGCTGTTTATGTCCAACATTTAGACTCCTCCAGTCGTTACATTTTCAAACCGGCATTCGAGCCATCAGGAATATTTCACAAATTGAAACATCAGTGCAAGCAGTGCTGCTTTTCCAGATTGAGGGATTTGGTCTTACTTGAAGCAGTAATTGGTGTCAAGTGCCCGCTTACGGCGGCGGGAGGAGGAATGGGCGTCCAGTCTGTGAGGAGGAAGCATCATGAGGATGAGGTGAGGGTACAGCTGCTCTTTTTGTTTCTTCGCACGGCTCAGCTCGTCAAAGTCTCCTTCCACACCTGCAGGAGGAAATCAGGACATTTTCAAAGACATCTTTGGTTGAAGAGCCGAGTAGGAACATTTTTTTACTCTAGCTCGCTCTTTATCCCCTTCCACATTTAACACTGCTCTGTTTAACTTCCCCTTTTTTCTTTATTCTCACCAACAGGCCTGTGTCTGCTTGTCCAATCTGTCCCTGATAGCTAAAGCAGTTGATATCTCAGGAGGGATGCTGGTAGATGTGTACGGCCGTCTTTAATTTGGGGCCAAACGTCTGAGCCCCATCGCTGCACATTCCTTGTGGCCAGGCCAGTCGAGAGTGTTCCCAGGACTGAGGGCCTAGGGGCCCCGGTGCTAAGTGAGAAACCAGATCGACTATATTCCCATACCCTGTGTCTCTTCTTTTAGGAAAGGAAACCCATCATCTTCACAAAAACACCTTTAGTGAGTCTCTGCACAAAGAACATGATGATCAAGGAGGATGTCACTTTTTAAGACCAGTTGAGCGTTATTGTATTAGAGCTTCACCGACACAGAGGCTCCAGTTTAGAGTAGCAGAGAATAATCCAAATGATCATAATCAAATTAAGTTTAATCTATAATCCACTGATTTGTCTACAAATAAAACTTGGAGACCTCTCTGGCAACATGACAATACCAGATTAAAATTTTAACCATTTATTATTGGTATTTTATTAGACATATAGAGAAATGCACTAATTATTATGGACACCTTTAATTATAGACCCAAAATAAGCAAATGTAGAAACTTTTAAACATTTTTTCTTTGTAAGAAAAAAAGAGCCTAAATGGATTCTTTAATAAACCAGCCTTGAACTCATAAATGTCAGTCATCCAAAGAACTGGCACAAAATGCAGAGTGCTAATCAGAGCAAACCAAAGTCTTTAACTGGACGAGATGCTTATCTTGATTATTATACAAATCAAGCAAAACTGAAGCAAACTGAAACATTATCCGGCTCCGTTTGACTGTGAGCTGGAACTAGCAGGGCATCCCTTTACTCTGAGGCTGAGATCAAAAGCAGAGACACATCCTGACCAAAGGCAGACCCGACGACCACAGTCTGTCTGTGGAGACAGGACATCACAAAAGAAAAGATATCAAGAGACCGGGCTGAATGCACAACATTACGACTGAGTGGTGTTTTTTAATGCAGACTCTATATAAAGTAAATTAGAGTGTTTCTTGTAATCTTTCAAAGTTGTCCTAATCTATAGTTCCCCAAACTATCGGATGGTCTAGTTCAACCCTTAAGCTTATAACTAAAAAGAGTTTGAGATGAACTTTAATAACAGTTGGTGTTGATTTGTGCGTGGAGGAATCCCAGTAAAATGCAGCAACATGAGAGGTGCTAGAGTTGATGCATAAAATAATCAGTTTTTGAATTTCCTACCATGTAAACCTGTTAGATAAGACCACTGAAATTAAAACCAACGCCAGTGAGGTCAACATTTTATTAAATGTTTAATTAAATTGTACTTCCTTACATCCTACAGTATATTAACCTCCTAAATGAGAAACTATAGCCAGCAATAAAGCCAGCAATCTTTTAATTTTATTTTTATGAGCTCACTCTTTCTGAGCATTAAGCCACCCTAAAATCACCACTTTGATTTTTGTACTCGTTCAATAAATAAGGATGGAGTAGTGCTGTTGGAATGTTGTTTCCCTCCACTTTCAGCTCTACATTCAATGTGCACGATGGTATAATTTAATGAGTTTATATCACCACATCAAATCTATTTTTTATGGGTTAGGTTGTAGCTACTGATCTGAAACTATAATTACTGTACATCTACTTGAAAAATCACATTATTTTCCACTTGTTCAAAATAAATCCAGCTCAAAGCAGCAGAGCCACAAGAAGTTGTAGAGGGAAAGCTTGCTGAACAATGCTAAAATACATAAACCTGTCACATTAGTGAATCATCTAAAATGATCTTACCTTTGAACCTGACTTCCAGCACCTCGTTGGTGTTCTCAATGATATCTCCGTTAGGCCTGAAAGTGTGGCAGGGACAATGCACGCTGATCTCCAGGCCAAGATTGGTCTCTGAGGGAAAAATCAAGATTACAGGGATGACATTTTTTTTCCTAAGGCTATTCTCTTTCATTTCTTCATAAAGCTTTTTTTTTCACCAGGGAATGTAATAAGGTGTGAAGAGATGAAGATCTGAAGTTTCCCACTCACGTCGGTACATCAGCCACTCCCTCACTGTCTCCGTCACGTCAAAGGAGACCCACTCAGGTGTCCCCTTGGTCAGGACATTCTTACCCCCAATGTAGCGTTGTTTAGCTTTGGGGTCGTCTTTCTGGAGGATCTGTGAGGAAAAATTAAAATGTGACCTGGCTGCACACACACATACACATATACATACTCATAGAACCACGGCTGTCTGTTGGAGCCAGACTCTCCAGTATGCCTTAGGCCAAATGTCTACTCTTCATGGAAAAAGTGACTCCCAGTGTTGATATCCCCATTTTGCAAGTTAATGCCTGTGTGGTTCCCTCCTGCCAATGGGAAACTGGCTGTTCTTCCCATCAACCATTCAAACTTTGACTGAAACCTCTCAGATTCAGTGTCACTCAGTTCAAAAATAAGTATCCCAGAAGGAATTTGTGTTGCGATAACTGCTCAGAACTGACAATAGAGGAACGTACAAGAGCAGACACTTGTATCTGCACCAGCACCTCTCTGGACAAAGGTGTTTATCTGGAGTGAGAAACGTGTTTGGGTGGTGGGTATGGAGCCCTTGGCCCTACAGCAAGGGCTGTGGATAACCAGGTTCCTGAACATTGTCAGCATCTAATCTACCTTCCTGTGGGAATGAGGGACCACAGCACTGACAATCAGATCTAGTCTGAAAATTGTGGGGGCGAGTGAATGGCTCCGTTTACTCCCAGGGGCAGGGGTAACCTTGCCTCTATCTCCTCCCAGACCCCTGGAAACAATCCTGGGGGCCTGACAGGCTGTATTCAAGCACTGGCCAGAGCTTTGCCTCAGAGACCCTATGTAGTCCGCTTGTCTCACTGGCAGGAAACGTTCGAACCTGATCATTACTCCCAGTCTCTCATGGGAGATTAATGAGGAAGCGGACAAAAACCACTCCTGCCACCCTACACACACATCAACCGGATGTCTACATAAATTATCTTAAACATGCAAATATTAAAGCTTCTCTTGATCGAACATGTACGGACAGAAGCTTTTTGATTGAAACCCATGCAGATTTTAAATTAGTCCTAATGTTGATTCCATCAAACTAAAAGCACATGGAGTAAGGATCACTGCATGAAAAGAAGAGAAGACGTTGGACGCCCTGATGTGAATATTTTCAACCTTCTCTCTGTCCAGCACAGGACTTTGGAGAGAAATCAAAGACACAGAACACCCCCCCCCCCCCAAGCTCTGCTAACAGTGGAAATGAATGGTCAGTTCACGCACCTGATAGAGCTCAATCCTTTGCTCGTTTTTCTTGGCACTGGGGTTGGGGATCCTCAGGGCTCGAAACTCGGCCCGGAACAAGTTGGTGGCATTCTTTTCTAGGATTGACACGTTGAAGCGGAATACCTTGGAGGTTATACTCTTAGTGCAGTGGGGGAGGTCATCTGCAGGTAAAGAGGAGAAAACAAGGACTCAGCAGTGCTTTTAAAACTGTTTTTCTTTTTGCTGGTGAAGATTCTCAGTCATCCAGGACATGATGAATTCAAAAAGCGTTTAATACAAAAACAACTGGACTTTATTTCTTCAAACCTGATCAGATAGGACTCTCAATGTTCTATCTATTTAAACTGTTATTCATCTCTTGTCCCATTATAGGCGTTATTAGAGCCTTTTTCAATAAGTTTAAATTGTTTGCAGAAAAAAAAAATGAATGCCTCATCTTTTTAACTATTTCATTCTGCGGGCCCATTATCACCAACCATCTGCTTATGCTTTGCGCCGTACGATTTAGCAACAAGTTGAGGTCATGAAATGAGAACCAAATGGCCCATTTGGTTGTGGCCAGGCTTCAGTGGGACAGCAACGTGCACCTCCTTCTCCTCTCGGCAGCACTTTAGCCTAACAGGTGCTCTGAAGCTCAGACAGAAGCCACGTTTCCTTGAACCCAGAGGTTTAGTCAGGAAACTGTGTGCTCATGTGCTGTTGCAGAACAACCTCAAATAAGAGTATGGCAGAAAGCCTGATGCTCTGCATTTTTAAAGGTGTGTGTGTGTCACTGCGTCCAGTCTAAGCTTAATAAAGTTTTTTTTTTGTGATCCTATTAGAAAAGCTTCCTGTTACACTGAAGCCTTCCCCCTTTTTTCTATTCCATTATACCACAAAGGAGTTTATTATTTTAACAGGCAAAGCACATGCAGCATTAAGCAAAACAAGCACATAGCAAACTTTTTATGAGGCAAGTGGAAACAGTCCTTTACAGCCAAGCTATAGCTAATTTATTACCTCAAGCTTAAGCTTTATTACCAGGCCTCAGATTTGCTGCTGGTTGAAAGGCGCAATGCACCTTTAGCTGATTTGCACCTCGAGCAATTTGAAGGCGAATGGAAACTCAGAAGCTGTCTCTGTGTCACGCGAAAGGAACTCGCACATCTCCAAGTATCTGTACTTCATTTGACCCATAATCCTATTTCAGTGTCCTCCCTGTGATTCCCTGTTGTTTCCACGTGTTATTTTTTTTCTTTTTCAACTTTCCCTATTTATAGGTGACCTTTTCAGTGTTCATCCTCGGCCAGATATCTGTCCAGTGTTTCCATGCAATCTGTGAGGAGGAAACCTCAGTAGCTTTTTTCCTCCCTTCATTTACCGCTCTGTCCCCCCACCCCCCCTCCTTCCTCCTGCTCGGCCTCCCCCACAGAAGGTTGAAACCCCACTATGAGCGGAGATTTGAAATTCTAATCAAGTCTTTAGTTTCCTTTTGGATGACCTCATTTTTCCCATTGCAACGGCTTTAGGATTTCACATTACGGCTTATTTTTGCCAAATAGTCTGAAAGGTAATTTGTTCCATCTTGGTGTGTGGAGGGAATTGCTTGTGTAATTAATAGAAAATAAAATTAATGCATCCTTCTATTATTAGGATGCAGATTGTCAGAATGGGCATCAGGATGCTGACACAAGCTAAACCTGGAAACAAGCTTCCTCTGGGGCAAACTTTCCTGATAACTCCATTTTTAAGTAATGAGTCATGCCTACTGTCATCCCTAAAATTACACAGATGGATTACATTTATATTAGCAAATTCAAGAATTTATAATAAAACATTTACTCAAAGCTACATGTAGGATATTGGACAACAAGATGACCATTTTGATGCTTTATGGTGTCATCACTCATCATCAGGCCCCTCCCTTTTGGAAGCAACTTCCAGTTTCTGTCTGTGAGGCCGACACATTGTCCAGTTTTAAACTAATAGTTAGGGTCGGCTTGGGTTTCCTGAGCTATCCCTTAGTTATGCTGCTATAGACTTAGACTGCTGGAGGACAACAGACCACATTTCTTCATATACTGTCTTTACTTACTCTGCTCAACCTGTTTTGTATTTGTAATTATTTTTTCTATCTTAACATGTGTTTTCGTCTTTCAGGTACACCTGCACCAACATCTGGACCTGTCATTCTGTATTCGTTTGTCTCTCCGTCCCGTCCTCTCAATCCCAGCCGGTCAAAGCAGATGGCCCCTGGTTCTGCTGGAGGTTTCTTCCTGTTAAAAGAGAGTTTTTCCTTTCCACTGTTGCCACTGTGCTTGCTCAGGATGGGAGACTGCGACAAAGTGAAGATCCAACGAGTCTGCTGGCTTCCTTAGAGAACTTTACTACCGCAATTGGCTTTTTAAAAAATATATGTGAATGTTTCTGTAACTGAATTGAATCACTCAACTAATTTGAACACATTTTGATTTTAAATGAGGAAACAGAAATTAAAGATACCCAGATAAGAACAGGCAATTGATGCAAAGCCTCACATTCGTCACCACGCCCCGACGCTGTCTGTCAACTCACAGCCTAAGAAAATGCTCATCTGCTTATTACACAGCAGCTCCCTGATGGTATGTGCTCCCAGGAATCACTTCTCTTTGCCCTTTTGTGCAAAGAATTAGGTGATGTCAGTCTCTTCAGAGCTTTGAGGAGGTAAACAAAGGAAATAGGAAGCACAAGTCTGCAGGTGCGAGCCAGCTGCTGAAGTGGCTAGATCTCATAAAGATAGCAGCAGCCTCTTTGGAAATGTTTTTGAGTTTAACTTGAGCCTTTTTATTTTAATTTTAAACCTACTTTAACGTCAGCATCTGGAATTTGTATTAGTTTGCATCAGCTTTTTGGAACAATTTGGTTTATACTCACAAATAAATTAATGTTCTAACATAGAGCAATCAAACTTTAAATGAAAAAAAAAATGCATTGCTCTTCATTTGTCAGACATTGACTGCTGTGGATGAGCTAATGTGACGGCTCCTTGCTCTGAGGAAAAACAACTTTTTTCCCCCCTTGATTGAACGAGAGGAAGCAAAATTGTGAATGTGTGGGAGTTGGTTGGAGAGATGCTGTTTCCCTGGGAGCAGGCCAAGGACCTCTGTCTCTGTTTGTTCAGATGACATCATCTTTTGTCTATCCCATATATCAGACACCCTGCTGTCCTCAGCGCTAGTCCCCATTTTTTACACCGAGTCAGTGATTGGCTTGAAATTTCTCTGAAGCATGATCCAGTTCACAGTGTAAGGTCAAGTTCTGACAGCAGCCCCAAACGACTGCCATGTCTGCATTCTGCCTCGACTCATCGATGACTCGGACCATAGTCTCTAGCAAAGTAGTCCGGAGCAAGTGGTGCATTGAAGTTTGAAAGAAAGTTTCTGTTTAACTTCTTAACTGTGCTTGAAAGAGAGAAAAAAAGGAAAGAAAAGTAAAACTTGACCATGTTCCCAAACACTCCCACCTTCCAAAAAGCAGTGCATGTAAAAGTCATTATATCCTGCTAGAAAATGAGCTACACTGCAAAATTATCAGGGTGACACACAATCTGAACAAGTCCAGCTCTCCTTAAAATTACATAATGGGACAAAAAAAAACAACTAGTTTTTTAGGCATATTTTTATGTGAGTAATATCTTCTTTGATTTATGGGCAGAAAATGTTGTCACTTTTAAGTTAACTTCATATTTTTATCACCTATGGCCTACAGTATGATGTGTCCTGGGCACCTGGCCATCTCTGATTCCACTCTTTAGACCTCTGTTTGTTTTGGGAGCTTTGGCTACCTCTGACCAGCGGATAAACCCCAAACTGTGTATTTTGACTGTCAGGAGCACTTTGTGGGACCCATGAAATAGAACTGATTCAGGGCTTAGGCTGTGGTTCTGCTCAGTGTCACAGCACAGCATAAACACCTGTTGATGTCTAAAACGGTGAAGGCGTTTACGCCCGCCAACCTTTGACCGTGAATTGACACAAATCCAAGCGCTCCACCTAAAACAGCCTCCCCTCTGGAGAATCCGCCTCTCAGTGAGCTCCTGCTACTGATTTATGGAACAATCAATGGCCCATAGTTTATACAGGAAATACCAATATGAGTGAACAAGGGAATTAGATCATAATACGGTGCTACTCAAAAGAAAAACCGGAGGGGGGGAAATAGAAGTGAGCTGCAGAGGATGAAAAATATTGGGGCCAGAAAATGGAAATGAGGTATTAAAGTTGGCAAGAAATACTCAATTTAACAGCCTGAGAATTTTCCGCGCTCAGGAATGTGTCAGACATAAGCTGGAGTTCCCATGGCTTCAGTGTGAGGTATGGATGTGGAATGGTGCTCATTCCAATTAGACTGTTTACTTTGCGCTCTCCTTTGCGCAACGCTCCCCTGATCACTGGCGCGTCTGTGCGTAAAATGCGCACGGACTCCAGCGCACCTGGTTCCTTCTTTTCTTCTTCTTCTTCTTCTCCTCAACATTTTGGACTTGTTTTATGAGCAGAAGTACGTGATATAGCAAGTCTTTTGTATATTTTTGGAAACGATCATTTGTTGAATGGCAAAATTCCAAATACCTGCATTTATAAGGGAACAGTTTCCATGAGAATGTAAACAAAGATGTGAAAAAAGATGGATTTTAATGATAAAAACTCACTGTTTTCTGGTAGACCATTGACCATGTTGAACTTGTAAATCTCTTTGGCGTAATACTCAGTCTCTGTGTTATCCTGTCCGCAACTCTGCTGCCGGTCTCTCCCAAGCTCCTCAATGAGCTCCCTGGTGCTGTTGTACAGGGCCAGGACCTGAAACGGCACCTGGCTCGGACCTGTTGCCTGAGGCGGACTGGTCATCCGTAGTTTACTCAGAATCTGTCCCCGGACCGCCTCCACCCTCTTTTTCTTTATGTGGTCGATGTCCACAGTGGTGCAAGTGGAAAGCGAGAAAGTCATTGTCACACAACTCGAGAGGAGAAAAAACAGAAGTGCTTTGCCCAGATTCATGTTTCACTATTAGTTCACTCACAACCAAAGCTTGTCAAGTAAATAAAGATTTTTTTAAAAAGAGCAAAACAAAAATCCGATCTGAATAGAATCCCTTATCCTACTTTCATTCAGGTCGTGAGTGAGTTCTTTTCCTGGAAGAATCCCATTTTCTCAAGCGCTATGTCATCTTTGCAAAGTGCGCATTTGGATGGGCGCAAATCCGTGCCATTTTGGAAAACAACCTTAACCCGTAATTGCACTCTTCATCACCTCTGGTCTCATTCACGCATCTCTTCCATGTTGTTATATTTCAAAAGGAGCCCGTTTTTGCGCCTTGGTTCGCTTCCTCCATTCCACGGGACTCTTTTCATCCACTGTGTGGAGTCAGTGCGCCTCTGATTCCTCCCTGTGGTCCAACCTCAGACACACTCTGGCTCCCTGCGCTCAGTCTCATACTTTATACTGCCTGTGACGTTTCTGAGGGCGGGGTAGCTCATTCTAAACCTTGTTCGGACAATGGCCCCATCACGAAATGTGTTTAAAAAAAAAACAACAGTTCGAGTTGTTTTTGTTGGATCTGTTTTTTGCGTTAATAAATGACAATGTGAGTTTCGCAATATCTACGAACTGAAAACTCCTTGGATTGTGTATAAATGCCAAGAGTGAAACACAAACATATGGGAATATGTTTCGTTGTATTATCATATCTTTTAAGGAATGCAAATTGATTGGTGTTCACTGGGTACAGAAATAAAGTTTGGATAAAATACAAACATGCGTTTTAGGTAAAAAAAAAAAAAAAAAAAAGAAAAGACTGTATTAAATTGATACAGTAAAGGATTTAATGCAGATAAAAGATCAAGTTAACTACTGGGATTGATAAACAAGAGATGTGTCAGCTACTTGCACTGCTGCATCCTGCTACGTTCGTTGCGTGTAAACAAAAACAGACACAATGCTGACATCTGGTGGGCAATGTGTGTAACTGCATATCTATTTAATTAAAACAAATAAAAGCCGAGGGACAAAAATTATTTGAAAAAGCTATTATTCATTTGATCGGGGGTCTAAATGCGAGAAAGTTGTGTAAAAATAAAGTTTATTAAAAAAAAATAATAATAATAAAAGCAGGAAATCGTTTAAAGTGGCATTGGTCCTCTGCGTTGCTATGCAACGCTCGTGTTACCGGAAGACGGTGCAACCAAGCTGCAGCAATGAGGAGAGAAACCGACGATAACTTTCAGCTCGAAGATGGGGGACCTGCAAAAAATGTAAGTGTCTTGTTTTGGGAGTTAACGGTAGGAGACAGAAAATTATTATTTTCTGCTGTAAAAGAAGCTGTCGCCATTATTGTGTTTTCGGTGAGGCTAGTGTTAGCTTTAGCTAAGTTAGAGCTAACACCAGACTTAAACACTCGGTTATATTATAGTGATTGATGTTTAACTCATAAACTACCGTCAAGGATACATCATCTTTTGCCAGTTTTGTAGAACAGCAGATTTGTTTTTGAATGTCCAGCTAAGGTTAGCTTTGTGGTTAGTCACGCTAGCTAAAAGTTACTGCAGAGCTTATTCTGCTGTTTAATGTTTTTTTTGTTTTTTTAAACCTATCCTGACTTGTCAGAAGTGTTTTGATGCCAAAGGGAAACTTACCCAGTGAATTCACCTTTAAATTAATACTAATAGTTCTAGAATTGCGCCGCTCAAGGTGGCTGCATGTTGGAGCAGCTCTGTTACTTTCATTCTGAGATTTTGCTTTTGGAAACTTTAATTCCTGGTTTTGTGGATGTAAATCACATTTTTTGGATGAGTGTTTCCTCTGGTATCAGACGCTGTGCAGCCGTAAGGATTTTTTACTGAAATTTTTTTGGTTTTGGACATTTGTTATGATGCGTAACCATGGCAACAAGGCAGTTTTCAACAACAACAGCAGCTGATTAATATCTCAAAAGCTCATATAATATCTCAACTACAGCCCCAAATCTCAAATGAGTTGAAAAAGATGTTCTGTGGATGCATTCTCATCTACCTGCCAGCTGTGTTGGAGTGCCTGACCACTGAGATCCTGGAACTAGCAGGAAACACAGCTCACGACAGCGGATAGACAGGATCGTCCCTCGGCACCTACAGTTGACTGTCCGCAGCGATGAGGAGCTCAGCAGACTGCTGGGAGGAGAGGCCATTGCTCTGGGAGGAGTTCTGCCCAGCATTCAAGCGGTCCTACAGTCCAGGGGAACCGAGATGCCAGCCGAGTCTGGGTGGACGGATCAGACGGCATCTGCAGCCAGTTTCTTAGGATCCACTGTGGGATGGACCTTTACAAGAGATCCTTCCTGTCTACAGCCATCAGCATCTATAACATCTCTTAATGAAATGAGGATAACGAGTTACAACAACAAATAATTTCCCTTTGGGATTAATAAAATATTATTGAATTGAATTGATACATGAAACTACCAATGTTGCAATGTTATTGTCTTATAAGAGTCTGATGAACAAAACATAATAAGAATTTCTGGATCTTGTTCCATTTCTTATTGTTTTGCACAGCAGACTTGAATTGTGTGTGGAAGATTAAATCAGTGCACTGTCTAATGGCAAGAACATCAACACAATTAATATTAATTTCTTGTTGCTTGTTTTTAGAGATTTGTGAAAATTAGGGAACTTTTTTATTTTTGTATAATTTTTTTTATTAGGAAATATAGATCCTAAATTGTTGAACTACATATTTCCAGTCTTTCAGGAGCTTTGGACCCATTTCCAATCGTTCCCAAAGATTCTGTCCCCCTGCCTTTACTCATTTACCTAAACCCAAGTGTGAGAATTTCAGTAAGATACTATTTTAGCACCGACAACCTTCTACTTTCTGCTTTATTGTTTGATTTAGTATCAAATTCAAAAAGATAATTTTTTTAACTGGTGGGTTTATGCATGCCGAGTGAGATTAACTTTGTGTGAAAAATGCTGTTGCATTACAGGATTTTATGCAAAACAAAAATGTATTTAGTAATTCTAGCTTTGACTAACTAATCACAATTAAATTTTTCAAAAATCCTTCACATATTCCAGGTTGCCAAGTCTGGACGAAGAGCTCGTCTGCCAGTGGACCAGTCATTTGAAGAGTCTCGCCACACAAGAAAGTCTTCCACCACCGCTTCATTAGGAGAGGTATGCGATCTTCTGATAACCGATGTTTATCTTCATGTTACAATTTAATTTTACAATAAGTGTCATAAATGCAGATTGTGTTTTCGTCTTATACGTGAATTACAGGATGATGTTGATGATGATGATAATGATGATTATGAGGTGGGTGGTTTGACTTTGCATGAATTCTGCTGCTTCTTTTTCCGATGTGCTCCAACTTTTTTTTACCGTTTTACAGTTGTTGGGGCTATTTGACACGGTTTTTGTTTGTACTTGTTTGCTTCACTTAAGTTCAATTTTCCAAAATATTAATTGCCTCTCAATTACCAGCATACAGAGGGTTTATGGAGGTTTCTATAGTGGTCAGATTTAGGTGGTTAATGAAATAGTTCACTTGTCATTTTTCATTTTTAGTAGATTTTAAAGGTGGTCATTGCAAATTTATGAAGGCTGGAGAAAGAAAAATATATAAAGTAATAAACAAAAAAAAAACACTGTTTTTCTCACGTTTCTGGTTAATGTGTCCGTCTATGTCCAAATTTATGACTGGATGTGAACTGTTTGATTACATACAGAAAAAGCGTAACAGAAAACATGTCAAACATTAAACTTACTATTATTTTTTGTTTATCTAAACTACTGTACAGCCAACTTAACGTAGGTGAATCATGTGACTCAAGCTGGTTTTCAGTGGATTCATCAAGTGCATTGTTCACATTGAGAGTGGACCTGCATTTCAAAATTGCATATCAGTATATGTGGGAAACTAGTGGACTAAATGTCCTGATGCATGCTCAGTAATCCAGGTAGATAAATCCAACAAGGTTGGATTCTTCTTTGTTCAAACGTTTCATCTTTTATCCGAAATGCTTCTTCAGTCTGAGGCACTTAAACAAACTCATTCTTATAAACGGCACCTTTTCAAAGTGGATCAGCCGGTCTGCTGGTGACAACCAAAACTACTGTAGTTGTTCACATGGAGGACCATGAGCCCAACAGTTGAGTTTAGTGGAGTAAACTCTTTCCTGTTTGATTTCATACTTTGCAATGAGTATCTTTAAAGCACACAGTTTATGTTCTAAAATATTTAGAAAAACTACTTTTTTTTTCTCCAATATTTCCCTGTGTGTTTGTGTTAGTTGGTTCTGCTGTGTCTCATTCTACAACTCTTTCAGTGTATCAGAACAATGAGCACTTATCAGTCACTCACGGGGTAAAGTCTCTCAAGCGCAACCAAATTGGATATGAGTACCTTATGACAGAAGGAACACCATGAAGAGTTTTTGTAGTAAAGAGAAACATGCTGGACACTGTGATTGTAAAATGATTAGAAAGAGACAAAAATATGAGAGAAGTCCAATTGAAGGCCACCTCTGACATGTTCAAAATAAGCTCATTTTGCTCTCCCTGACATTTCTGGAATGAGTCCCATCTCCTGCTTTGGCAAACTTCAACCAGCCAATGATTCCAAAGTTAAAAAAAATATATAAAAAAATTCCAGCAGTGCTTTTGCTTTAGACTAATCTTCCCAAATTAGGACAACTTCCCCTAATGTATGATCTGATATTCTCACGCCCTCTCTGACCTGCTGTGTGCATGCGATACATTTTTCTGTGGTGTCGTTCAAATCAGTGTTTTTCTCTTCCTCTCTGCCGTCGTTGTTTATCATTCTTGCCCTCTTCTGCCTTAAATACCCAACTGATTGGCCACATTCTTGGCGTCCCTTTAAGCAAAAACCAGATGCTTTTATAGACTCATAAGGTTTGGCCACCACAAGTTCCTTGCCCCAGAGACCATTACAGAATCCTAAATTAGAAACCATGAAGGCTAAGCTAATTGTCCTAACAGCCCCGCCTATTTTACTACGACTGTCAGGTTCATATTTGGTCGTGAAGAATTGTGGGCCAAGAATTGTTTTGTTTCTCAGGACACAAGGTCCTTTCCGTCTTTGCTCAATGAAAGTAATGTTGCTAACACTTTATTATTTTGTCTGTCGTGAAAACTTTGTTGTGAGACACCTCAAATATCAAAGCACAGAGGTTTCACATCAACTGATAGAATTCTGTAAATTCCTAGAAAGCCATTTGCCGCCGTAATAATTTCTGTTCTTATTAAAGAGTCGGTTACTAATTATATAAAGTTAAGGGATCTCGTTTAGTCTCAGCTCTCTGGTTTAATGGTAATATACAGCGAAGCAAAGTGCCCCCCCCTTTTCCCCCACCTTTCTGCCCTGTTTAATGGTGACATTCAGTTTATAAATGGCTTTGGTAAAAGAACCAGCTATAAATGATTATTTCCTCTTTTATCACAAATGAAGGGAATTTGTCACGAACACTTTGTCCTCTACAGACCTAATTTAGTAATGAGAAAAATGTTGTCGTTTTTTCTTCTTCCCTAATTCATTTGTCTAGTGTTCACCCAAATGCACTTTAAAGGAATTCATCCATTCAAGTCTCAGCATCGAGATGCATAGTTTGCTATTTTTTACAGTGAAAGAAATGGGAGGTGCATGTATTTATTCCCTCCTCGTCTGAAACTATTTCAGGGTCAAACTGTTCCCACACTCCTTTTCATTTAAATAGTCTAATAATACAAACTGTATTTTAACTCGTATGCAGGTGATTTTTTTTTTTTCAATAATCTTTTTGGTAGCTTGCCATTTGCATTAGGGGACTTAATTTGAGAACATGGTAAATGCACACACCTATTGTTACCTCTAGACTGCCATTAGAGAGGCAGGAAGAAACACAGATGGAAAAGTAATCCTCAAATTAAAGTGTGCATCAACTATAAATCTTTGACATTTTTTGAACCATGAGCAGCATAAGACACTGATGGTCATTCTTGTGGAATGCAATGTTTATACAGTGTTTTATGTAGGAAATAAGACAAGTAAAAAAAAGTTAAAAAAACTCTTCACTACCAGTTTTGAGGAGAAAAATTTGGGCTAAAAAAAATAGCTGAAGTTCAATGAATCCTTGCACATTCTGCTTCCTGGGGGTTTGAGAGAAGATTGTCAGATCTAAGAAATACTCCTACATTTTGATGTATAATTTGTATATGTACCAAAAAGGAATCTGAGAATAAGGCAAATCTTGTTTGCTCAAAGTATACTGTGTGACATCAACTATCAGTTGAACGCCCTTTGGAAAAATCTGTAAAAATCAAACATAAACTGTGATTTTGTTTAAAAAAAAAAAAAAAAAATCAGTAAAGAATCAAAATACCAGTTAAGTCATGTGAAGTCCAGCTATCTATGAATTGTTTAAACTTTGAATTGTGTTTATGTTGTGAAGTTTACCTGAGCATGTGTTTTATCCAAACCCCACTGATCTCCATCATTTTTTTACTTTCAGATGTTTGTTACTTTTGTTTACGTGTGTGTAACGTACCACTACCGAAAGCCATAGCACACTGCTCCCAGTTACTCCCCACATTTTGGTGTATATTTGTACGTTTTATGTCAAAGCTGCATGATAAGATACAGGACAACCTTTTTTTTTTTTAAATTTACAGAATAAAAGGATGCACTGGCACTTAATTTTAAATAAAATAACTACCATATTGTTATTGAACTGGCACGTGATTTTGCAGCTGGAGCCTACAACTGATGCAGGGGTACTCATAAACTCAGTTTATGTCTTGTTTGTGGATTAAATACATTTAATACATACAAAAATCCCTGTATTTATAATGTCATTTACTGCTAAGCTATTCTGTTTGTTGTGGTATAAAAGCTTTCGTTTAAACTGCTTACTGATAAAGTTCTGTTTTGCTCCAGGGAGCAACTTCTAAACCAACCCGGCGGCAAGGTGGCTGGGCAGAGGAAAACCCTGGACCTGGTTCTGCCAAGTATGTATCGTCGCCTTTTCTCCCAATCTCCTGTGGCAACATAGAAAGTCGGGGGGGTGCACAAGCTTGTGTTATGTTATTAATGAACTCTCATGCTGTTGAATGAGCTTATTTATCAGTGCATATTTGGCACTCAGACTGCGAATCAACAAGGTTAGAGGGAGCCTGTCTGAGCAGGCAACTCTCCATTCGTCTTCATCTGCAAGCAAGGCGGTAATTGACATGGTTAATGCATCAGCCACAGGAGGGCACTGTTAGTCAGCTCGCCACTTCATCACCAGGGTTCAAGCCACTTCATCACCCCTTACCACTGCAGTGTGCTATTTACACAGGGAGCACAACATGGAAAATTCATAAAACATCAGAAACAGATGGAAAGCGTTTGCCAGAAGTTCTGATTCGCAACAAGCAAATTTAAATTGCAATACTGCACATGACTGACTGAACAATTCTTTTTTCCTTCTGTCACTATGTTCCTTTTCCTCAGTCTCTGAGGAGATTAGAGCACAGAGGATGAAATGAGCAGGCGGAGTCAGTTGTGCTTATTTGCGTCGTTTGCTGCACCATCAGTGCAAGCAGGGAAAACAGCAATTTCAACAGATCTTTTCTTTCACGCGGAAGGTCAGGGAGTTACGTCTCCGCCTTTGCGTAACCCCCCGTTTGATTCTCGGTCTCAGAGTGATTCAAATACAGGAGGTGTAAAAGGGGTTTGCATGTGCATTGATCCTTTCTGAAACAAAGTAAGTAATGGTCCCCCCTGGAACCGACAAGGACTTTTCCTTTCAATGTCACCCCTCATGCTCAATCACCACTGCCCTCCTCCCACTAATCCCAGCGCAGAAATCCCTGGATTTGTCGATCTATCACTTCTAATTGACACTAAATGATGTGTCAGTTTATTGATGAACCTTTGAAACCAGGTTGTCACAATATATTTTATCCCTAACAACTTTTTCCAGACAGTTTTACCATGTCTATCGCTTTGCCTTACATGAGTCTTAATCAAGGAGCCTGTAATGTGTCTTAAGTGTCGCCACCCCCGCCCCTCAGACAGGACACTGTCCAAGGGCAGGCAGGTGGGCTTCCTTTGCCCATCTCTGCCTTTCCCGGTTCTACTCGAGTCCATTTATAGTTTTTAGTCTGGTGTCAGACTGCGTTCAAAAGATAAACAAAGATGGGATGAATATTATCTGAGTCTCATCGTGTCTCGTACAATTCTTTGTTTTTTCTTGTTGTGTCTGATATAATTATGTCTGTTAAAATGTGAGCATCAAAGAATAAAAATAAGATCAAGGGAAAAAGATTAATACACAAATAAATGACCACTAGGGGGCAGTACTTAATAAGAAAAACTGGGAAAATGTAAAAAAAGAAGGTTTTGTCTGCATAGAGATATATATGTATCTGGATATGAAGATATTTTCAGCTTTGATCAAAAATCAAGCACTATTTTTGTATTTTTTCTCACATCTATATGAACTTAAAAAAGGCTGAAAAGTTACATAATACACACACAAGGCTGAAAAAGCAGAGTGGAGACCAGAAGATATTTTATTTCACACGACTTCTAATAGTAGAAACAAAATAAGAGGATATGTTTGTGACAAACTTCTGAGGTTACTGTAGTATGTGGAGAAAAAAAAACATTTTAATCTAATTATTTGTTTTATTTAAAAAAGTTGTTCTTTTATTTAATTTACAGATCTTCAAGAAGACCACCTGAAGACCTGGAGGAGTAAGTTGACTCAGACACCACAATTATCTTTAATGCCCTGTTTGAGTTAATAGTCCAAGTTTGATGCCTTTTCCACTGTTGTGTATATGGAAAGCGACCTTTTAAAACATTAAATCTGAATTCTGTGTAATAAGAATGAATCCACTTAAATTAAAAACAACAGTTACCGTATTTTTCGGACTATAAGGTGCACTTAAAATCCTTTTAATCTTCTCAAAAATCGACAGTGAGCCTTATAATCTGATGTTAATTCTAGTTGTGCTCACTGACCTCAAACCAATTTTATGTGGTTATTGTGAATGAGTTGAATAAAGTTTGACTTATCTGACTGTTTTGTTTCACTTGATGAGCCTTATAATCCAGTGCGCCTTATACTCCGAAAAATACGGTAACTTAATTGTAGCCTGACTGATCTGTGGTACCTTTTATTGCTGTCCTGCTCAGAGCGGACTGTGGACATGCAGGTGGAGCGCACCGTCATGCATGGTGTCTGAGTGGCTGTAATCAAACATACTTTATATGAAATTGATGAGGATAACTTGAAGAAAGTCTCTTCTGATGTGCTTCTGTCACAGTTCTTCTAGTACTTATTTGGGCTGAGCATCCAGCTGGGTTCACTTCTTAAATAAATACAGTCTCTGACAGAAGCGTTGTGAAAAGGTGCTGTTCTTTAGTGGCTATTGGAAAACTGATGTTTCCTACCTACAGTGACGAATAAACAAAAGCAGGCTCATCATCAAAGTAAAGTCCTGAAGCCAGCTCACTCTCTGTTTATGATGCTCTCACCAACAGGCTGGGTTTAGAAAGCGTTAAATAATTCATCCTCTTCCTGTTTCTATAGCCGTCGCCTGCGACCGCAAACTCCCCAAGGATCAGATGATGAAGGAGGTAAGAGCACCCTTGCAGTACCCCACTCTTTGTGTCTTCTCACGGGTAAAGAGTCCTCCTGTGCCTCTCCTGCACATCTATCGTCTGAAAGTAGAGCAGATAAGCCGGCAGTCAGATCATTGCTTTTCACTGATGCTCAAACCATATTTCTCCCCGCTTCAGTCTGAACTCATGTTAGAAGTCTGCCTTTGACCACCGATCGTACGGCCAAGTATAAACACTCACACAGGGCTGGTCCAAAAAAATTAAACAATTAAATCAATTAAGTCCATTCATTTTCTTTACCCACCTCCCTATAAATAGATAATCCTAAATATTCTTATGAAACTTGTAAAAAGTAAGCTTTTTTTTTTTAGTTCAAAGAGTGTTCAAAATAATTTAATAAAAGAAACAAGTAAAGTGAGGCTTTTAGAAATCATTAAAACAATAAGTGGCAAATATGTGCGAAATAAAAATCAGAGATCTGAGATCATGGAGTTAATTCTTTAGCAGCCTCGTCCTCGTGGTTAAATATCACAATTAAATCTTTTTCATGTGCACTGCTGACTTCCCATGACGAAAAATCTGTAGACCGTCTCAAAGTATATATATATATATATATATATATATATATATGTATATATATATATATATATATATATATATATATTTTTTTTTTTTTTTTTTTTTTGTTTGTTTTTTTGTTTTTTTGAGCTTCTTAGGTTAGCTTCTAAGTAGGATGACTAAGAAAACAGTACATTCAATTTACAAATAAATAATGACATTTCAAATCCTGGAAAACAAATTCAAAGCCTCTTTATTCCTTTTCTAAACATTTGTAATATACAGAGCAAATGAAACTGAAGTTTTTACTTCAGCCTAAAGATTTTGTGATTTGCTGCTATCAATGTTCTAACTCGGTTATTTATTTTATACTGAATCAATAAAAAATGCAGCTTCAAAAACATAAATCATTTCCAAGAATGTGTAAGTTTGTAGTGATAAATTGCCAACACTTCCAAACAGAAAGTGTTGGGTCTATAGTAACCTAAACGTTTCTGGACCTTTTAGTATTTTATGTATATTTTTGCACATATCGTCAGCTCAAAGGCGAAAATCTCGACTAAAATGTTGAGCACAGAGATTTAGTTCTTTTGCAGTTAATGCCACCAGAAAGATTATTGCTCTGTGAAGGGAGACCTCTTAATACAGAGCTGGAGGCAGGGGCAGTGGAAATTACAGTGCTGAGGGTTACTGAGATAGCCCCTGCAATCTTGATTATGTCCCCTACCCTTATCCCTTATGTCCACTGGCTACAAGTGCAGAGAGAGTCCCACAGAGAGAAGCCTTGCCCAGTCCCCTGCTCCCAGCTCTCTATCAGCTGCCCCCACAGCTTCCTGCTGGTCACGTAAAATAGCACCAGTATCACAAACACACGTTTCCTTTAAACTGTAAAATATTGTCCTTTCACAGGAATCCGTGCCTCTTTAGAGTCATATGACCGGACCCCTGCGTAGATTATAGCAGCCTAAGTGATGTGGAGCGCCGTGCTGTTTGTTAAAGTTGCTGACTGGCATGCACGCGTCAGGAATATGTCTACATTCACAGCAAATTATCCCCTTTTGATATTTACATGCTTCAGCGAGGAAGCCGGACGCTGCCGTGTAATAAGGACACACGTGACCTGCCAGACAAAAGCCACCTTGATGCATGTCCAGCTGAGCGCAGGAAGTCATTGTAGGCTCCTCCTGATGGAGTTGCCCTTTGCATCGGGAGAAAACACCGGCTTGTTTGCAGCTGCTTCGATGCCCCCATTGACCTCCAGTAATAGGTTGAATTTAAGACCCATTTAAAACTGTTGTTCTGTTTTTCACTTAATAATAGAGTTTGCATATAAACAGCATACGCCTCCATGCTTCATACTGGACTCTCACAGAGTGTGTTAATAGCGCATTACCGGTCAAAGTGAAAAAGGGAGTGTGTGTGTGTGTGTGTGCGCAGATAGACAACCCAGAAAGCTGTTTGCAGAGCCGGACGGCAAAGCTTTTTGATGTCATTGCACTAAGACCATTAAATTTGATTGGGAGTCCAGGGGGGACGGATTCTGCTGAACGCTGTGCTTTGTAAATGAGAGGACAAAGTGTCACCGGGCCTCATGAATATGAAATACCCACGCCTGCATTTATTTGGATATCAGAAACGCAGATGAATCTTGTCAGCGGCTAAACGAGCGTGGCATTTTTAATTTGGTTTAATTAAAAAAGAGAAAGAAAGAAGTTATCAGTAGAAAGTGGGGCTTTGGTATCGAGCAAAACTTGATGGGTTATGTATTGAAATATATATATATATTTTTTTGTTCAACATTTTCTCCATCCCAGAAATATGTCTTGGAATCATAGTATTTTCTTTGTTCCACCAGAGATCAATGTTTATGTCAACTCGGTTTACTTTGAGGGTTATTTTTAAGAAACGGTGACAAAGATGCCAAGATATTTCCTCACATCAGATTCAGACTTCCATCTCCTCACCTCTATTTAGCTCCTGTATTGACTTTCCCCTCTGGGCGCAGAACTGTGGTTAGAGATTACTGACAACCTTCTTCTTGCAGTCCAGCTCTTTTCTATTTGTCAGTCTTTTTCTCGCTTGCAGCCAATTCTTTCTCTCTTCCCGTTTCTGTCAACTTGCAGCTGTAGAGCTAAGAAGCACATTTTGCCTCTTACCAATTCAGAACAATTTATTCTGACAAAAAAAAAAAATCGAGGACTCTGTTAAACCTGTATCACACTTCAGCTGTTTGTGGCACAGTGTTCTGCTGTTTGTATCTACAGCAACTTAATCTTCTTCATGTCCTATGATGTATTTCTTGTGTCTTTATTCAGTAGCAGTGCCTCTTCATCCCTCATTATTTCTCTTTCATTTCAGTGCCTTCACATGTCAATCTGAAAAATGCTGTGAACGTTTGCCCTGTCCTTCTTGGGAGTGGAGCCATCCTCTGTCCTGTTGCGTTTTGCCAATTAAAGCGGGTTCCCACTGTTTGAGCAACGGGCTGGTGGCTCCTGGCACGCCGGCCCCTGCCAGGCTGCACTGTGACTTCCGACCTCACACAGATGGGCATGCAAGCAAATACTCTTGCACATGGCTCAGTGCAGCCCCAGTTGGAGTGGCAGAGTGGACATGGAGGTCGGCCTACTGGCCATTGCGGGTCCTAGGGGTGGGCAGCGCTGACAGGGCCCAAATGCTAAGGTAGCAGGGGGTGCTTTCTCGGGAGCTCCTCACCAGCGCCCCATCTCACAGCAGGATGAGCTGCCGCCTTGCCTTTTGAATATTCATGGCCGCATGGCTATGACAGGGCAGCTCTTACGAGAATGTAGCCAGCAAGAGGGAGGGAAGGAAGCGCCACACTGATATGATCACACACCGTTGTACAAACGCACACACCTCTGAGAGCCATGCTCAAGGGACGTGGTGTGTTTTTTGTTTTAAGTTGTCAACTGACAGATTTATTTGAGTGTCTTATTGTTTTTACGCCTATTCAGACATTATATAATGGTTTCTGTTTTCTGTTTGTAGATATTCCAGTGATACCAGACTTAGACGAAGTGCAGGAAGAAGATCTTACAATGCAAATTGCCGTTCCACCAAGGTAGCGATCTCTTTAAAAATCCCAGTTTGTTCTCATCCCTCCAGGATTTTTCCCCCTCAAACAGGTGAGTGACAGGTAACCTCTGACCACGGACAGGACACCGGAGCGTGCTCTGATGACTTTGACGTTACCTGTCCTCTGATCATCCCGTAGCACCGTGCCTTCCTGTATGTGACTGAAATGGAGAAGTAACAGTTTGGTATGATTTACGCGACTCTGTTTCCAGAGTCCATACCGACTTGGCTCTTTGATTTACAGGCCAGTGAGGGACTCGGCGACATGTGTCGACTATGTAGCAAGGCTGTGACAGTGGTGGAGGTTATTAGGCAGGGGCTTGCACTTTGTGCGAGATAATATCCACATTGAACTCATTGCAGGGGCAATGTAGCGTGTAATGTGCAGTAAGTAGGACTGGCATGCACTGCTAGGCCCTGGCCACTTCGAGAACCTCCCCCCCACCCCCCACTTAATTCCAACCCACAGATAAGCAGCTGGGTTTCAATTTGAGGCGTTTAACACTTGGCAACCATCTCCTGCTCTCTGAGGTCTTTGCTTGAAGTCTTACTGCCTAATTGTGCACAAACTTCAAACTTATCTGAAGCCACTTCTCAGTTTTGCGTTGCATGTAATGTGAAATATCTTTCACTGAAATATGAGTGGTTTTTTTATTTTTTATTGTATAAATGTTCAAGAAGCTTCGTTTTCTCCACCTTTTCTTATTCCTTGTCTGTCTCTTAGCATCCAGGTGAATCGAGTGATGACCTACAGAGATCTAGACAATGATCTGAAGCATTTTTCTGCTTTCCAAACCTTAGTAAGTCAAGGGCGTTTATTTTTATATTTCTATGCCCCTTCTCCTCTTTTCCTCAAGGTGGTCTGTTCAGTTTGTGACCAGTATCACCTCAGTTTGTGCAAGCTAAGGGAATTTCACTGCAATCTCTCTTCAGGATGGAGAGATTGACTTGAAGCTCATCACCAAGGTTTTAGCACCAGAGCAGGAGGTTCAAGAGGTGAGTGAATTCTTAGTAAATATAGCTTGTGAGCTCCCAGTGCAGACCTGTCCAGCTGTTTCTAGAGCACCAGGGGAGGTTGCCACTCTTGTCTCCCAGGTAATCAAGATTTATGATGTGTACATTAACACCCTCTGCTCTCCTCCTCCCATTCTTCTGTCTTTGCTTCTTCTATTCCCTGTGCTCCCTTTCTTGCTGTGTATCTGTCTCTAATTCGTCTTTTCTCCCTCTCTTCTGTGACTCCTTTGCTCTGCAGGATGATGAGAGCTGGAGCTGGGGTCATCTGTTTACAGAGGTGTCCTCAGAGCTCCTGATGGAATGGGATCAAGGAGAGAGTGAAGAGTTGGAACCAAAGGGTCAATGACTCTGGTTATTTCAAGTTTAGTTTGTTGTAAAATATACAATTTTTGCTAATGTATTTGTGTTTTTTCTTAAATTTCCACACAGTGTTTTTTGTATAGAAATGATAGTTGTGTTGTTTTAATAAGTCTTTATCTGAATGTATGAATACCTCTTTGATTCAGTTTTAATTTGAATCTAAATAACCGAAATGTTCATTCGAAAAGCCACTCTGAAAATACTTGTTTCAGATAAAAATGTCCTACTTGCAACATAATCAACATCCACATACAAGTCCAAGGTTGATAATCAGCTAAGCTGAAATCCAGTTGATTGTGTTCAAATTAACATTCCTCATTAAAGCCTGCAACCTTATTGTTATTGACTCTGCCATTGACTTTATCTTGCAGCTCCTCGATAGGAGCAACCCCTTCTTCACTATTATCTCAAATGCATTGAACAAAGTTTCTTTTGACACCTGGGGGATTTGCATACATTATCCCTTTTACGGAATTAAGAGGAAGTAAATCTGGAACCAAAAAAAGCCAATTTTGTCATGTGAGGAGTAAATTAGGACATGTAAAGAAATGTTTTGTTGTGAAAATAGCACATTTTAGGCACTAAATTAGTACCGGTAATAATTTTAAAAATGCATTGTTTGCAAAGGTTTGAACATCCACTCATGTATCAGCATTCAGTTTTGTCTTTAGTTCATGTGTGTGAATATAAACGCAGGCCTCCAAAGTCCGTCTGGGTCTATTAAGGAAACAGCTGTAACATTTACAGATTGTGATTAGGTTTATTTCTGTGGCAGACATTGGTCTCATGACATTTGGAAATGCACAGCAAAGTCCTCAAGGACACACGACATACGCATCTAACAGCTCAATCTCTGCCCATCACAAATAGATCCAGATATTTTTTTTCCCATTTGGTGGGCCTTGAATCAACTTCATCAAGTGTAATACCTCAGGATGAAGCTATCACAAGGGATATTTGTGCTCAGAATATTTATATGCGCCACAATATTTGAGCTCTGCACTGAAATTCAGTGATGATCTTTGTGCCTCAGTCAGACATACACGTGCAGCTTTTTTTTTTAAACCGCCTCCACAATTGCCTTGTTTTGCCAGACTTAATGAATTCTGCCCATATGCCCTGAGCAGCTGCTATGTTGCCCCTTCCTCCTGCCCCCGCTGAGCTGCGAAGTGCCCATCCATGTAGAGACAACCTCTAGCTGTCTCTCTGGAGAAGGCTAAGCCTGCCACTCCTCTGCTGGCAGCCAGCCGGTGCTGTCTGAGGTGGACCGTGGACGGACCGAGGACTCAGATTAGGGCCCAGCGATCAGCGGTTGTGGACAGCCTCAAATGACTGGGCCAGGCGTCGGTGGATCAGAAAGCGGATTAGAGCGAGAAAGAGATCCAGAGACGCTGTTTGCCATACACTCGCATCCAGATTCTCAAAGTGACCTCTCTGCTGCCTCTGCCTGCTGCTCCCTTCTTCTCCTTTATTCTCTTCATGTCTCTCCGTGTCTGCAGCACATCCGTATGCTGCAGCGAGGCAGAGAATGACCTCTCACTGTCTGGGTGAAGTGAATTCAATCACATCAGAACAACTACAACATCAACATTTGTTGTGAGGAAGACGGCTGTGTTCTGGGAAAGCTTTGTGACTGTGGCTTTCAAACCATCACTGACTTGAGCTGAGTTTGAGGCCCTGTTGATTCTTAATACACTGACCTTCTGCCATCATTTATTGATTTTTGGTATTAAAAACAATGGAGCTATTACTATTTAAATTGAAGGCCTAGCATTCCTTGAAGAAATGCATATCACCTGCTGCCTTTCATGCCAGAGTTTCGACTAAGACCAATTTATGTTCAGAAATGAAGAAAATAACAATATGGACAATTTCACGTGATATCTTCTCAAATAAAAAAAAAAGTATTTAGGCTCATTTAACATTTCACCTCCCCATCAATCTGGCTTCAGGGAACAACACAGCACAATGACTGCTTCACTGAATGTTTTCATTTACGTCATTGAAGCACTGGATGCTCAGGATTATTGTGTTGCACTTTTCTTAGACCTGTCCAAAGCTTTTTCACGCTGTGGATCATAACATCTTGTGTCATAAGCTCTCAGAAATTGGTTTCTCAGATCATACCATTGGTTGGTTCACTAACTACCTCTCAGATCAGAGGCAATGCGTTCAACATAACGGTACTTCCAGTTATTTAACGGTTAACAGTGGTGTACCACAAGGCTCAGTACTGGGACACACCCTCTTCACAATAGCTAATGTAGGTCTGATCAACCCTGATGCATCCTTACATTTCTATGCTGATGATACAGTTGTTTATTGTCAAGCTAAAACAGTTGCTAAGGTTTTCCAGGTTTTGCAATCCGCTTTTGACATCATCCAGTCAGATTTGTTCCGTCTCAAACTGGTCCTAAACGCTGACAAAACCAAAGGGATATTGTTTTCAAACAGGAAGTCGGTCCCAGCAGTCCTTCCCTCAATTTTTTCTTTGAATGGTATTCCTGTTGGGTTTGTTGATTCCTACAAATACAGTATTTGGGTATCTTGGTCTGTTCGCACCTCTCTTTTAAGCTTCACATGGAAAACTTGGTAAAGAAACTGAAAGATTATTATTATTATTTTTATTTTTTATTTTTTTTCAGAAATAGGTCCGGCTTAACTCTGAATACTAGGAAACACCTTGTAACTGCTACTTTCCTTCCCTCCATTGACTACAGTGACATTATTTACAAAAATGCTCCTACACGCACCCTGCAGATGTTGGACGCTGCCTATCTCGGTGCACTAAGATTCATAACTGGCTGTAACTATTGTACCCACCACTACACCCTGTATTCACTGGTTAACTGGTCATCACTAACTTCACGCAAACTCTCATTGGTACATTTTCATCTTTAAATCACTTCTTGGTCTGTTGCCTTCATACATCTCCTCCTACATGTCACTGTGTGAGTGCAGCTACAGCGTGCGCTCTCAGGACATTATTACCTGCAGTGTTTCCTCAGTGAGGACTGAACTTGACCAAAGGGCATTCTCCTACTCTGCTCCTGTTTCCTGGAATATCTTGCAAAAAGATCTGAAGCTCTCAACCTTGACCTCTGACTTTAAACATCTGCTAAGTTCATGGCATAAACCAATGCAGACTTGTTCCTGTTTTTAGTTTTCTACATCGCTTTACAACCTAGCTGATTTTGTTAATTTTTAATACAATTTTCTTGCATTTTTTTCATTTATTCTTCTCAATTTACTTGCTTTCTTTTATGATTGTCTATTGTTGTCATTGCTGTCCACTGTTGTCATCACTCTTTGTTAAAAAAACAGGTCTCTTGTAAATGAGTCCTCGAGGCTCAGTGAGACTAACCTGTTTAAATAAAGGTTGAATGAATGAATCTTGAGGGATTTTACAACACAGTGCGTTAGTGCTTTGAAGTGTGTGTAGTGAAAGACTCTCAGTTACTACCAACTAAATGCCATCTCTGTAAAATTCACTGACCTATAGCCCTTTTCGTTTAGGTTGAGGACAGATAGCTGTGGTGGCCATTTTGAATTGCGTTGACTCCAAAAGTTAATCAGTTGTAGATGTCCATCCAAAGATTACTTTTTCAGAGTTCCATTGAAATTATTCAGTGGTTCATGAGATATTCTGCTAACAACCGGCTGATTTCAGAGTTCAATGCCAAGATTTTCAGCAAATACACCACACAGTATATTGTGCTCAAGCTTGTGCTGGAAGATATGCTTAGCTACTACCACACCAGACTTTAGCTCAAAATCTGTAAAACTGACTTAATCATAGCCAATTTTGTGTTTGCCAAGGTCATCTAGCTGTGGCGGTCATCTTGAATTGGATCTGCTCCAAAAGTTAATCAGCTGAAGGTGTACTACCTGTGATTACTCTCTGCGTTCATGAGATAATCTGATAAAGACACAGGTAAAAACATCATCGCCTGCCATCTCCTTTTGGTGGCGGGCGATTGTTATGCAGCTATTGCTACAACAAAAATCCACACAAGACATTAATAAATCAGTAACTACATAAACTCAAAAGCGTACAAAGATAAACAAGTTTTCTCGTGCAAATTTACACTAAAGTAGGTTATTTACGTAAAACTATGAGCCCTGTAAGGACCAGTATAAGTTTTTAATTGGCAATTTACCCATCCTTTGAAGTATGTGTCTTTCAATTTAGTTTTAAAGAAAACTAACTCAGGAAAGTATTAGTTTTAATAAAAATCTTAACGAAGGACCGGTTTACGTATTGCTTTTTCCTGCTTTTTGTTGACAGGCTTGTCTTAAAGTCTTTTGATACAGAGCACTAATTGGAAGCACAGTACAGATAATATGCTTCCAAGTCCGCCTAATATGCTGTGGTGTTGACAGAAGTTTATACATCTTATCTGTTCGTAATATCTCTCCTCCATATGACCCAAAAACCAATATGCTTAGGTGTAATTAAAGAAAATAGGGAGATGTAGAGATAGTTGGGGGGCTGCTCATGCACAGAGTGAGGGGTGAAGACAGACACGCTAAAGCTCAAGAAATATTAGGCCCTGTTATTTTCACCGGGGGCCACGTGCCTGTCACAGGTTACCTGTCACTGACCTGGCCAGGGCTGCAATAATCTGTGAGGAGCCATGACAAGCGGTTCAAAAAACGCGCAGAACAAAAATCAAATCATTAAGTTCCAACGTAAATATTTGCAAGGTCAATTTGTAACCTGACGCCACGCATAATTCATGCAAATGCGCCCAAACGGAGCGCTTTGAAACAAACCTCAAACAGCCACCGTATTGATTTGCAACAAAGACTCCACGATATTTCAAGTTTAAAGGAGAACTCCTCGACACACAACTAAGGCAGTCAGATCAATATCATTTTTGTGATCAAAAGCAAATTTGCGTTTGAAGTACAGATTAAACAGATGTTTTATTTTTCATCAGTTACCCTGCACCTTTTAAAGCCTTCAGGGGGGGATTGTGGCAA